GAAAGAGCATCCATAGTTGTGCAAATCCAAGAGTCTAGGGAGGGATAAGAATCCATCCAACCTGTGCCTCCATCTTGAAGAATGAATTAACTAGTTAGTGGTAAATAAGAAGATAGCCTGTTTGTAAAGATCTCCAGAGGTGGTTATTTTATAACTTCAGTGACTTCGGTGACTTAAAATTCAAATGAGTGAATTTAAAGATCTTAGTGGCTTTATTCAACATTCCATGAATCAGGCAGCATTCAATCTAACAGATAGAAAGGAGCTTGAATGAGCTGTACAAAATGAAAGACTTTTACAGGCAGAAGGGAGCGGGAACAGGGAAGTTATGCTAGACAAAAAAAGTAGACTGGTTATGGCAAAGTCACCTTTCTTTAGGGGATGACAAGGGTCGCTTAGGCACATTACCTAACTAGTGCTGATTTGGGGATTCCTGATTGACTGGTTTAAGATTCCATTTCTGGGAGAGCCAAAACTGTAATTAAGTCAAATCTTGTTTTGGGTGATGTGGGGCTTAGCGTTAAGTGACTCCATTTGGGGTCTTGTTGCCTTGTGGGTTTTTGTTGTTGTTTTCTTTTATTTATTTATTCATTCATTCATTCATTCATTCATTCCAAGATTTCATTTAAATTCAAATTAGTTAACATATAGTATTCGTTTCAGGAGTCGAATTTAGTGATTCATCATTTACATATAACACCCATTGCTCATCCCAACAAGTGCCCTCCTTAATGCCCATCACCCATTTAGCCCATCCCCCCATCCCCTCCAGCAACCCTTAGCTTGTTTTCCTCCTGAGAGTCTCTATGGTTTGCCTCCCTCTCTGTTTTTATCTTATTTTATTTTTCCTTCCCCTCCCCTATGTTCATGTGTTTTGTTTCTTAAATTCCACATAGGAGTGAAATCATATGGTATTTGTCTTTCTCTGACTGACTTATTTTGCTTGTTTGCCTTATTTTTAACACTACTCAACAATTCTTTGTTTTCTTTAACCAGAATCCAAGGGCTGGTTTTATACTGAGTCTCCCCACCGTGAAGCAGAAGAGCTGGACATCAGCCTTGACATCACTGCAGCAGACTTGACATTCACGAGGTGTGTGTCTGAGATGGTCTGGGTATTCCAGTAGCACTGAAGCATTTCATTTTCATCCAGTGTCAATGTTTTCTATGCATGGACATGTAAAATCACTAGCCATTCAACTATCCCTGAAGCTTTATCTCTCACTTGAGCAATTTTAACTGGCTGGAGCACTCACTTTTGTTTTGTTTTGTTTTGTTTTCTGTGGAAAAAAAAATTGGTTTTTTTTTTTTGGTCTTTTATTCAAGTTACTGTTTTCAGTGACAAAAGGAAGAACATTCAGGCTTGTCCTGGGCTGTGGCTGCTGACTCAGTCCTCTACACTTGCCCGCAGGAAACCTAATCACACCTCAGCAAATGTGCCAATTACTCTAGTTTCTACTCTAGTTGCTCAAAAACAATGAAAATTGTTAGTGTTAAACTGTGAACACCAGTCAGTGACTCTGATACCTCTAGAGTCAAGTTTTCCTCACAATCGAGACCAGCTCCAAATAGCAAAGACTATCACTAGACCCCTGATTTAATGTATTCTCTTTTTCTCACCTCTCTCCTAATTTTTGCTTCTTGATTATATTCAAGTATAATCTCTTGAAAGGTCTGCTCCCCCTGTGCCAGTTTTGGTCTGTGGGGTGTGGGTCCCCAGGTGCACCATGGCACAGTAATCATTTCACACGGTACCAAAATGGTTGAGTGGCTCTACTTTACATAATACCCCAGCGGCACTCGACAGCTATAATCAGTAATCAGCCTTCACTCCTCCTGGTTCAATAATCCCATTTGCTGTTTTTCACTTAGTTTTTAGTCTCCTGTCCTTGAAGCTTCCGCGTGGCTCCTTTCTGAACTTTTACCAAGTTAACTAGGTCCCACTGCTTTGAAGTGATCAGCGCTATAGGTAGCAGTCTTGGAAGGACCCAAGCAGCCCAGTCACATGATTACAGGACAGAACGAAGACCTCTCGAGTGTTTGGGGTACAGAACAATGCCCAGGGTAGTTGCCTCTGCCCAACCAGGCCAGTGAGGCTGGAAGCAAGGTGCTCATGTTTGTGGTATTCCAAGATGTTTTAAAGGAAGGGAGTTTAAAAATGTATCAGCATTACCATTTTCATCACATGGAGTATTTCATTTAATGTTTACATTACACATATTATATCATTTAATTTATTGTCCATGAGAACCCTGAGAAGGAGGTCGTTACTGCCTCCATTTAACAGATGAAAAAGCCGTCTCAGAGAGAAGGTGTTACAAATCAGAATGAGAGTCCAGGTTTGTCTGACTCCAGAGTACAAGCTCTTATACCAAATCATGCTGTTTTGTATACAGCAGTGGGTAAGGAAAGGCTTTTCCATCTCAGAAACAACCCACTGGGGCTAATTCTCAAATTAGTCAAATTATCCAAATGGCATATTAATCCCCATAACTTTGCAGAAACCAGAAGTTTCTATTTTACCTCTCCTTTCCCAGTTTAGTATCACTTGGGAGTGTGGATAGAGGGAAATGGAAATATAAGAAAAGGAAGAAAGAAAATTGATATGGTACCAAAGATACAATGTAGAATTATTTTTGAAAATAATTTTGAAATGCATGAATGGGATTTCTAGGAGACTACAGTCAAATTAATAACTTGTCTATGCAGTTTCAAAACTTTGAAATCTTCTTGGGGTGCCTGGGTGGCTCAGTCAGTTGAGTGTCTGCCTTTGGCTGGGTCCACGATCCCAGGGTCCTGGGATCCAGCCCCGCATCGGGCTCCCTTCTCAGTGGGGAGCCTGCTTCTCCCTCTCCCTCTGCCTCTGCCTCTCCGCCTGGCTTGTGCGTGCTCTCTTTCTCTCTCAAATAAATGAATAAAATTAAAAAAAAACCAAAAACTTAGAAAGCTTCTTGATTATAGGAAGATTTGGCTGCAATTTCTGTATTAATGGAGTGTCTAGGCACTCCATCTTCAGATGGACATTTGTTAATGGCTCCACACTGTCACCATGTGCCCATCTCTATCAAATCTGTAGACAAATGGTCTCTGTCTTGAGTTTATATAAATTATCTTATGCTGATGTCCTTTATCTTTCCTTTATTATTATTATTTTTTTCTCTCACTTTCCAATACATCAATATGATTTTGATACCAACTGATACCAATTTCCATAATATCTACTATCTACACAGATTACCTATAAATTAAAGTGCCCTCAGTACTGCCCAGGTCTGCCTCTTGTAAAAACACTTACATCTGTCTAGTTGACTCAGAACCCCTCCTTACAAAAGGAAGTTCAACATTTTTAAATTGAAGTATAGTTGGCACGCGATGTTAACATTAGTTTCAGGTGGACAAGATGGTGATTCAACAAGTACATGTTACAAGCCATGCTCACCAGCAGTGTGGTGACCATCTGTCACCACACAACACTCTTACAATACCACAGACTATATTCCCTATGCTGTATCTTTCATCCCCATGACTTATTCATTCCTTAACTGGAAGATTTCAACATTTTTTTAAAGGTTTTATTCACTCATTTGAGAGAGACAGGAGAGCACAAGCAGGGGGAGAGGCAGAGAGAGAGGGAGAAGCAGACTCCCCACCAAGCTGGGAGTCCATCATGGGGCCCTATCCCAGGACCCTGAGATCATGACCTGAGCCGAAGGCAGACACCGAACCATCTGAGCCACCCAGGTGCCCCCAGATTTCAACATTTTTAAAAACATAATTTTCCAGTAAATTATGAACATGTCTCATAGTCTATACACCACTGAATATATTCTCTTTTTTTCAAAAAAGCCTATATTATAAGGATGTAACTGTAACCACTAAATGTTATTTAATGTCCAGAAGAGTACAATTGATGCTGCATTGATTTGCTTCACACTAAAAACCAGGGTATTTGGGAGAATAATCTTTTTTTCCCAGAAATATCAGAATTTACTCTCTTGAAAAGAGAGATTTATTTTGAAGTAGGTAATTATTTTCAGTAATAATTTCCCATATTTTCTGTTATTAAAAGTTTATATTTTTGGGGGGGAGATGAAGTGATCAATTTATATTTGTATTAACATTTAATTTTAACAACTAAATTTGAAGTATAAAAATTGCTTTCCTTATTATTTTCATTAATGTTTATTTACTCTGATTATGGTTAAATTAAAATTAAAACCTTTTGGTGTTCCCATCAATTTAAAGAAAAACAACAGGAAAGATTAAGTGAGGTAGACAAATCTACTTGAAGTATAAAGTTAGAATAAGATTAGAAGGAAATCCAAGGGGTGCTTGGGTGGCTCACTCAGTTAAGCATCTGCCTTCAGCTCAGGTCATGATCCCAGGGTTTTGGGATAGAGTCCCATGTCAGGCTCCTTGCTGACCCTTCTCCTTCTCCTGCTCCCCCTGCTTGTGCTCTCTCTTTCTCTCAAATAAACAAATAAAATCTTAAAAAAAAAAAAAAAAAAAAGAAGGAACTCCAGGAAAATAAAGGGAATTTCATTTGTTGAAATGGTGTAATTATTTTTTTTAATTTAACAATATAGCATTTGTAATACATAAAAATTTTAACTCCAAATTTATTAACAGACACAAAAGCAGAGCCTAATATTATGAATAATAATATGTGTACCACCTTAGTTCAATAATTACTACCTTTTCTCATGCTTACTTCATCCATATTTTTCTTTTTTTTCTTTATTTTAAAACAAATCCCTGAGATATCCTACTATTTCACCATTTTTTCATATCATGTCACTCTGAAATATTTCTCTGAAAAATAAGAATATTTTCTTACATAATCACAACACCAGTATCACGCCATCAAAGGAAATATTAATTCCTTAATATAATCCTCAGTCCATAGTCAAAGTTCCCCCAATTATCTCATAAATATCTTTTTATACTTGGTTTGTTCAAATCAGGATCCAAATAAGTTCCACTCTGCATTTGATACTTACATCTCTTAAATCACTTCTCTTCTTCAGGTTTTCTTTCCAAGATCTTCACTTATAAAAACCAGGTCAGTCCTGTAGAGTATCCCACGTTCTGGGCTTTTCAATGCTTTCTTGTGGTGTCAATTCAATTGTTCTTCTCTCCCCTGTATTTCCTGTTATCTGAAATTAAGATCTAAATGTGATTAGATTCTGCTTTGTTTTCTTTTTCTTTCCTTTTTTTTTTGCATAAATATTGTACAGATAGTGTTTTGTACTTCATAGTGCCTCACACTGAGGAGCATGTGTCTGGTTGATACACTTTTAGTGATGCTAAGATGGACCTCGAGTTCAGAGGAAAGCAATCAGTCCTCCTATTGTGTAGCTCTCCATCGAATTTTACCCTAATGGTTCTTAGAAGACTCAATTATTTCATTGGAGATTGCCAAATAGTAGTTTTCTACTTTTATCATTCTTCTTGTCTTTTCTATTTTTATCATTCCTTTTGGCTGTAATTCTTCTTTAAAAAAGAGCTTTGCATAATCAAATACATCAATTTAGATACTTTGCCAATTAATTTATACAGGAAAGGTAAGATAAATGCTGAACTCTTTCCTAATTACCAGTTTCCAGACTAAGAAGTTAGTTCTCTGGCCACCTCCAATGGTGATAACAGACAATTTCTTTTTTCTTTTCCTTTTTTTAAATTGTTGTTTGTTCATTTTTTAAATTTAACTTTTCTGTTTTTTCTTTCTTAAAAATAATGAACTCATAAATTTTTATAAATTCAATGTGTTTGAATCAAGTGTAGTCACTTTTTCTTTTAGGGGTTCAAATTGTCCCATCTTGGACAGTTCAAAGGATCTTTTCAATCTGGCTATGTCCTTTTGATATAACCAAATTCATCATTGATAGTTTCTTTGGTTTCTGGTGAATGTGCATGCCCACACACACACAGTCTCAATCCATCTCATATATTTTCTATTTCAGGTTTGTAATCAGTCATTTTCCAATCATTTCCCAATTAGGGAATTGGTGGGGAATTTCTAGTAGACCACAATTTGGACCAGGAATATTCATTGTTTCTAAATTATTACTATTTCTAGGTCTTTCCAGTGTATTGAACTAGGAAATACACATTTTAAGAAAAATTGTGGTAAAATACACATAACATAAAATTGGTCATTTTAACTGTTTTTAAGTGCATAGTTCAACGATATTAAGTACATTCACATAGCTCCATAACCAATCTCCGGAACACTCTTCATCTTGCAAAACTGAAACTCTATACTCATTTGTTGTTATTTACAACTCCCCATTCTCCCAGACCCTTAGCCCCTGGCAACCACATTTCTCCTTTCTGTGTCATAAATTTTACTACTCTAGGTACATCAAACAAGTGGAATCATACAATAGTTGTCTTTTTTGTGATTGTCTTATTTCACTTAGCATGATGTCCCTCAGGTTCTCTGTGTTGTAGCATGTGTCAGAATTCTCTCCTTTTTAAGACTGAATAATATTCCCATTGTATTTTGTACCATATTTTGTTTATCGATTCATTCACCAATGCATAGTTGGGTTGCTTCCCCATTTGCCTGTTGTGATAATGCTGCTTTTAACATAGGTGTACAAATATCTTTTGGAGACTCTGCTCTCAGTTCCTTTAGGTATAGAGGTATACCTAGAAGTGGAATTGCTGAATCATATGGTAATTCTTTTTTCCATATTTTTAGGAACTTCCATCTTTTTCCATAGCAGCTGTGCCATTTTACATTCCTGTCAATAGTCACAAAGTTTCTAATTTCTCCACATCCTTGCCAATAGTTTTCTTTTCCCTTTTTAATAGTAGACATTCTAGTGGTTATATGGTGGTATCTCATTGTGGTTTTGATTTACATTTCCTTAATGATTATGATGTTGAACATTTTTTCATATGTTTATTGGCCATTTGTATAACTTCTTTGGAGAAATGTTTATTTGAGTTCTTTGTCCATTTTTTATTGGTTTGTTTTTATTGTTGTTGAGTTGTGGAAGTTCTTTATATATTCTGAATATTACTCCCTTATCAGATAATATGATTTGCAAATATTTTCTCTCATTCCATAGGTTGCCTTTCATCCTGCTGATTGTGTCCTTTGATGCACAGTTTTTAATATTGATGTATTTTTTTACTCTTGTTGCCTGTGGTTTTGTTTTTTTGTTTGTTTGTTTTGGTCCAAACAGTACTTGCCAAATCCAGTGTCATGAAGATTTCCCCCTATGTGTTCTTCTTCTTCTTTTTTTTTTTTTAAAGATTTTATTTATTTATTTGACAGAGAGAGACATAGCGAGAGCAGGAACACAAGCAGGGGGAGTGGGAGAGGGAGAAGCAGGCTTCCTGCGGAGCAGGGCGCCTGATGTGGGACTCGATCCCAGGACCCTGGGATCATGACCTGAGCTGAAGGCAGACGCTTAATGACTGAGCCACCCAGGCGCCCCCCCATGTGTTCTTCTAAGAGTTTTATAGTTTTGGGTCTTATGTTTACGGGTCTTTGATCCATTTTGAGGTTTTTTTTTTTTTTAAGATTTTATTTATTTATTTGAGCGAGAGAGTGTGAGCAGGGGAGGAGCAGAAGGTGAGGGAAACGGACAAGCAGACTCCGCACTGAGCCCAGAGGCTGATATGGGGCTTGATCCTAGGACCCTGAGATCATGACCTGAGCTGAAGCCAAGAGTCAGACGCTTAACTGACTGAGCCAACAGGCACCCCTTGAGTTATTTTTTTATATAGTGTAAAGTAAGGATCCAACTTCATTCTTTTGCAAGTGGATATCCAGTTTTCCAAATACTATTTGTTGAAGATACTGTTCCATTCTCCAAGAATGGTCTTGGCACCCTTGTCAAAAATCATTTGACCATGTATGTTAGGACTTATGGGTTCTCTAGTCTGTTCCATTGGTCTATATGTCTGTCTTTATGCCAGTACCACATTGTTTTGATTACTACAGCTTTGAAATCAGGAAGTTTGAGACCTCCAAATTTGTTCTTCTTTTTCAAGGTTGTTTAGGCTATTCAGAGTCCCTTGAGATTCAATATGATTTTAGGATGAGTTTTTCTATTTCTATAAAAAAATGCCATCGGGATTTTGATAGAGATTGCATTGAATCTATAGATTGCTTTGGGTTGACATCCTAACAATATTAAGTCTTCCAATCCATGAACATGGGATGTTTTTAAATTTATTTGTGTCTTCCTTAATTTCTTTCAGCAATCTTTTATAGTTTTCAGTGTATAAGTCTTTCACCTCCTTAGATTAAACTTACTCCTAAGTAGTTCTTTTTATTTTATTTTATTTTTAAAGATTTTATTTATTTATTCAACAGAGAGAGACACAGTGAGAGAGAGAACACAGGCAGGAGGAATGGGAGAGGGAGAAGCAGGCTTCCCACCGAGCAGGGAGCCTGATACAGGGCTCGATCCCAGGACCCTGGGATCATGACCTGAGCTGAAGGCAGATGCTTAACCACTGAGCCACCCAGGCACCCCTAGTTCATTCTTTTTAATGCTATCGTAAATGGAATTGATTTTTAAATTTCCTTTTATGGATTGATGTATGCACATACAACTGATTTTTGTGTATTGATTTTGTACCCCACAATTTTGCTGAATTTATTTGTAGTTCTAACAGGTTTTGCGTGTGTGTGCATGCGTGTGTTTATGTGTGTGTGTGTGTGTAATCTTTATAGAGTTTTCTACAAATCAGATCATATCTTCTTCAAACAATCATAATTTCACTTCTTCCTTTTGTTTTGGATGCATTTGTTTCTTTTTCTTGCTTAATTATTCTGTATAGAACTTCCAGTACTGTGTTGAATAGAAGTGGTGGAAATGGGCATCCTTATCTTGTGGCCTTAGAGGAAAAGCTTTGTCTTTCACCATTAAGTATGATGTTGGCTGTTGCCTTCATTTTGAGGTAATTTCCTTCTATTCCTAGTTTGCTGCATGTTTTTATGAATTAAATGGAATGTTTTAAAGAGCAAGATTAAGAATGAAAGTTACACTAACTAACTGCTTTCTAAGGTGTTACTTTAATGTTACTTTGTAATCTTCACAAGGTATTGAAATAACCATCATATTTGTTGTTAAGTAATAGTGAACACGTGTTTACTCATTCATTCAATAACTATTGTTTGCTCTCTACATGTGTCAGGTACTTCTGGGAACTTGGAGGGGGGGAACACAAAGTAGCGGCTCTCATGGAGTTTGCACTTTAGTGGAGGAAGATAGAAAATAATCAAAGAAAAAATGAATAGAAAAATATCAGATAGTAACCGGTGCCTTGCAGAGAATTAAAATATGGCAATGTGACAGAGAGGGGAACTATTTTAGATTGGAAGATAGGGAAGGCCTTCTAAAGAAGTCATAGTTAAGCTGAGATCTGATTGATAAGAAGGAAGTAGACATATGAAGAGCAAGCATTTCAAAGAGGGAATGACAAGGACAAAAACTCCAAGAGAGGAGCATACCTGGTGAAGTCATGGAACAGAGAGAAGATCACTGTGATTAAAGTACGGTGCGCAAAGGGGAGATGGTTTAAGATAAGGTCAAAGAAGAGGGGTGGTTATTTTTCCCTAAGTGTAAAGAGAAGCAATGTAATCATATATGTAAAGCTCTGTGTTAGACACATAAACACTTAAGATATACCCACTACCCTTAAGAAAGGTAGAATCTTATAAGGTCTCTAATAAAAAATATGTAACTGACCAAATTTGGAATTATATGCTTGAACCATCTTAGCTATGCTTATATGCTTATTTACATTGATATATAACAATTGGAATCTCATGTCACCCTTTCCTTTTAGATATATTTATTTATATATATTCATTATGTACTAAATTATTTATATAAATATAATATGAATATAATATTGTATTCATATATATTAAATTATTTATATTTATATATATAAGTTAAGAGATAAACAGGAAGTGACATAGAGGGAGGTGAAAATGTCACCTTAGTATTATTAAAAATGCTGGTGTTGGTGAACATGGCTAATTACAGACTTACCTGCCTCGTCACAGTGGAGATGTAACAGGGCAGACAATGTATCTATAAAATTACACAAGGGATCAGAGATATTAAAGTGCAATGAACAAACATCTGGATTCTAGAGCCAGACTTCCCGGGTTCCAATCTCGGTGCTGTAACTTCCTAGTTTTTCAATGTGACCTCTCAATTCCATTTCCTTACCTATATAATGTGGATAATACTAATATTATTTCATAGTGGGGATTGTGCCACATATGTTCGGCATCTTGTTCATGATGCATACATAATATATATCCAATGTCTTTCCATAGCCATAAATTCAGGTCCAATGCATTATTTTTTAAAGCTGCTGATTGTTATATTCCATGGATATATTAGAATTTATTTAATCAATTTTGCCTTTCTCTGAATGTCATATAGCTGGAGTCATACAGGACGTAAACTTTTTAGACTGGTTTCTTTCACTTAGTAATATGTATTTAAATTTGCTCCATGTCTTTTCATGGCTTAATAGCTCATTTCTTTTTAGCATTGAATAATATTGCATCATCTGGATGTACCACAGTTTATTTATCCATTCACCTACTGAGGCCATCTTCATTGCTTCCAGGTTTTAGCAATTATGAATAGGGCTATTATAAACATTTGTGTGTAGATTTTTCTCTTGACATAAGTTTTTACCTCCTCTGGTCAGATACGTAGGAGTGTGATTGCTAGATCATATGGTAAGAGTAAGTGTAGCTTTGTAGGAAACTGCCAGACTGTTTTTCCAAAGTGTCCATACCATCTTCCCACTAGCAATGAATGAGAGTCCCTGTTGTTCCATATCCTTGCCAGCACCTGGTGTCATCAGTGTTGGGATTTTGGCTATTCTAACAGGTGTCTAGTTGGTTCTGGTTGTTGTAATTTGCAATTCCCCAATGACATATGATGTGGAACATCTTTTCATATGCTTATTTGCCTTCTATATATCTCCCTGGGTCTTTGGCCTATTTTTAATCAGGTTGCTTGTTTTCTTACTGTTATGTTTTAAAAGTTCTTTATATATTTTGGATAAATGCCCTTTATCAGATATGTCTTTTATATATGTTTTCTCCCTACTGGTGAAATTGAAGTATCTCATTTCCATAGCCAGTGAGCTGACTATACAAAAAAAAAAACAAAACAGTTTGGTTGACATTTCAGGCATGTGGCAGCCATAGCAGTTCTAAATAGGGAATTCTTACCACCGTAGAGCGAAAAGCCTATGACATCAGCCAACAACAATGCAGAAATCCTAACGTAGAAAAGCCACAGGGATTGTTCTTCTGAATGCTATATGGAAAATATTCCTAGGAAATATAACAAAAATTTATTTTGAATTGTTCCCAGTCTAATTAAAAATGTACATTTTTGATCAGGAAAATTTTTAGATATAATTTGAAGGCACTTAAATCCCAGTATATATATTGGAAATTTGAAATAAAAAGTTCTAGGGACACCTGGGTGGTTCAGTCGTTAGGCGTCTGCCTTCCGCTCAGGTCATGATCCCAGGGTCCTGGGATCCAGCCGCATGTCTGCCTTCCTGCTCGGCAGGAGGCCTGCTTCTCCCTCTCCCACTCTCCCTGCTTGTGTTCCCTCTCTCGCTGTGTCTCTCTCTGTCAAATAAATAAAATCTTTAAAAAAAAAAGTTCTAGGGGTGCCTGGGTGGCTCAGTGGGTTAAGCACCTGCCTTCTACTCAGGTCATGGTCCTGGAGTTCTGGGATTAAGGGATTGAACCCTGAATTAGGCTCCCTGCTCAGCGAGGAGTATTCTTCACCCTCTCCCTCTGCTGTGCTCTCTCTCTCAAATAAATAAAATCTTTTTTAAAAATTAAAATTAAAAAAAGAAATAAAAAGTTCTAGTTTCTCTTTGAAGTTTATTTTACCTTGAAAATTAAAGACAAACACTCTTTAGTTGTATGGTTTGATTACAAATTACTTTACTTTTTCTGTTCTACTTCCTACAGGTTAGCTAATACTGCAGTGAATATCTTGTTATACCAAAATATTTGGACACTTATTTGATGTTTAAAAAAAATGTTTTAGATAAGACTAATCAGTGTTTGACTCAAAAATCCAGGACAACAACAAAAAGTTTTTGTTTAGGCTCTTGGTCTATAAAAGAAACTGATCATATGTGGGCTTAAAATACTGATTCTTAATGTTTGGGGATTAAGATTCCATTAAAACCAGAATTACCTGCAAAAATACAGATATATGTGTAAGTGAAATCCTGTCTACAATTTTAGGGGTTCATGTATTTGTGGTTTCCCATACATAGGTACACAGCAACAACTCTATCTTAGATAGTGTGTTATGGGGATTAATGTGGAGGAGGAGGGTGCTTTTACTCACCAAACAAACATACCTTCTGACTAACCTAGCCTTCCCACTCCCTAATGAATCTGGCCTAAAATCAAGCTACTCTTAACTCAAACTAGCAAATTTTCTCAATACTCAAAAGTAGTTAAATGAGAAAAAGAAATGATGTGTTATAGTCACTTGCCATAGCTCATTGGTAGCACCATCATTTCCCGTACTGAGTGACCCTGGTTCCTAAAAATAACTCCAGTGCTATTCAACTGCTTATATTTGGCATATTCTTCATTCTTATTTGGGAAAGCACATTCCCTTCTCCAGCTGAAGAAACTCAGTGTCTGAAAAGAGCTGCCTAAAAACACTGCTCCCTCTGGGCTCTTAAAAATGTTCAGCATCTGAAAGCTGGCGGCGAGGGCTCACACCCAGTGGAGGCAATACTCTGTGGACTGAGCAACAGAAAAATGGGGACACTATATATGGAAAACAGGAAGCAGAACTAGTTGAGGTGGCCTCACTCATAAGTTACCCATATTTAAAGCTATAATCCAGCAATTGTTATCTAGAAAAGGAAAAGACTTAATAGCTTAGCCTAAGTTATAAGGGACACAGTGCAAATCAGGCCAGACCGTTCTGACATTTTCCACCTTACTTTTAAATAAGCAAAAGAGTAAAGTCTCAGGACTGGCTAGTCAAATACATGGACACAGACAATGTATACAGAGTTGGTAGCTGCCTTGTAGCAAACTGAATTTTTCATGGTTGCTCTACAATTAGGGTATTGAGGATTGTTCATGAAATCGAAGTCCCCACGCCAAAAAAACAAGTTCCAAAATAAAAGAACTTCCAGTTTCTCTGCATTATATGATTATTTGCATGTTATTTGTCTATTTGGAGACAAAAAAAAGAGAAGGAACTGGAAGGACTGTCTCACTTTTTATTGTTTTTCTAAAAGTCAATTAATTCCCAGGGCTTCTTCTTTTTCTTTAACCAAAGCACACAGATTCACATTTTAATAGAGGGATTTTAGTTTCTTAAGAAAAGAAATGGGGTTATTTATGATTAAGAAGCACTTCCACATTAGTATTATAAGACATCATTTATTCCTTCTCTCCCCATCTGTTCATCTTTGTCCCTTTTTTAATGTTTAAAAAGGAGTTACGTTCTAAGTAGCTAGAGGTGGCAGATGAGGAAAATATATTTAGGTTGCTCTGTAGAAACAGTTCTTAGAAAAGTAGCTGATGACTTACCTAGCCACTGTTAATCAGTCTGTTTCAGAAGCCATCACATACATTTATAACGGTATTTAAAACACAAGTCTTGTTGATCGACAAGGCTACTTTCAAAGATTTTCCTCAATTGAAGCTCCTAGTAGGGCATTTTCATTATTAGGAACTCCTTCATTTAGCATTCATTTAGCACACTCATCCCCACACAATTTTCCCCCTATCATTAATGTTAGAATTGGTTTTCACCTATAAACCTGGAACTTGATTTTCAATGTGTCCCTATGCATTCTCTTTGAATTTCTAAAAATATTTCTCATTCCTTATTGTCTGGACATTCTTATTTATTGGATGACTATAAAATCTATCATTCCTATCTGGATGTACTTTTGGGAATGAAAGGGGTGCTATTAATAATTATGCTTGGACAACAAGCTCTGGCTATCTTGGGCATACCAGAACACAGTCTCCCTGCTTATTTAAAAGTGATGTGGTGGGGGAGCGCCTGGGTGGCTCAGTTGATTAAGCGGCTGCCTTCGGCTATGGTCATGGTCTCAGGGTTCTGGGATCGAGCCCCACGTCGGGCTCCCTGCTTAGCAGAGAGTCTGTTTCTCCCTCTGCCCCTCCCCTTGCTCATGCTCTCTCTCTCTATCAAATAAATCAATAAAATCTTAAAAAAAAAAAAAAATAAAAGCGATCTGGTATGGATTGTGCCAGAGTGTGCCAATCAATGGCCAACACCAAGAAAAATTTGGTCTTAGGTATACTTCTATTCTTACAATGCAGACATTCATCCTTTGTTCTAACCACACAGGATCCTCTGATGCTTATTGCACTTGGAAAATGAATGAATACTAAACTATTTACCCATAAAGGTTTATACTGTTTAAGGTTGTTTCCACTGTCGAAGATTGAAAAGGCTTCAAGCAATCACAGGGCAATTTGTGCCTTACTGAACAGGGTAATATTGAGAGGGTAAGTCCCAAGACTGCTCAAAGTGCAAGAGAAAGATAGCTATCCACTCCTGAAGCCAAAATTGACTCACTCCCCATCCTGTATTTCATAATCATGGGATTAAATACAACCTGCTAGATCTAAAGGTCAGTAATCAAACTGTGATCCCACTGTTTAAGAGATAATCGAGTTCCTGAGAACCTTTAGTTTCTTTTGTTCCTCACTAAATATTAGTGGTTCTTTTCATTTATGTAAGCCTACCCTTTAATTATACATAGAAGTAGGGATTAAAGGCCGATTAAAAGGAACCTGTGTATCCAATAAAGTCTTTGTGGGTGAGCAACATTGAAACTTCACTTTGGAAAAGAGTAGGTGAATGAAGATACATTTCTTTCTTTCTTTCTTTCTTTCTTTTGTTAAGATTTATTTATTTTAGCAAAAGGGGGCAGGGGTAAGGGGAGAGGGAGTGGGAGAGAGAAACCCAAGCCGACCTGGCGCTGAGTGCAGAGCTGGACATGGGGCTCAATCTCATGACTCTGAGATCAGGACCTGACATGAAACCAAAAGTCGGATGCTTAATCCAACTGTGCCACCCAGGCACCCTGAATAGAGATACATTTCAAGGCACGTATGGTGACAAAACTAAAGCCAACTTTTAATTATCAGACATAATGACTTATGAGATGGAAGAAGACTACTTATAATTGGGAGACAGTATAGGTACAATATAATTCGTTTGAAAGTTAAGGTACCAATAGATATCCTATCATGATATGATCTAGCAATGTGACTTACACTATTCCTGCTTACTAGGACTTCCTGTTCAGCATGGTAAGACAGACGAATCCTTTTTCTTTTTTTAAGTAGTCATAAATTTTATAGTTAGCTAACTAACCATTAATAATTATATGAAATCACAGGTAGAGCCATACTCCTGACCTATCACTGCTTTTCTCAGATGACATATTTTTAGTTTCTTTTTCAAGGCTCATGACTTCTGTACATAAATTGCTATTCACACTTCAGTTTAGCCAAATGTTCCAACCTGGTCCCAAGGGAGCAAAAGGACCTATTTACTCATTTATCAAGTATTAGCTGAGCCCCTGTTCTGTGTCCTGGAACAGTGTTTGACACTGGGATTAGAGAGATGATTCAACTGCCCTTGAACTAATTTAGCTTAGGGTTGTACAAATCTAAACCTCGTAATATCCTGGTGGCAAAGACTGCCTCCTCAAATCACACACAGGGAAATGTAGTGCGAATCAGGCATAGATCAATTATGCTTTATCTTTGAACTTCAGTCTCTCATATTGAGACCAGGCCACTTACTACTAATTGTGAACAGTGGTGTAACCAAGAATCCAAGATTCTTTAAGTCCAAGAATGTTGAGGTCTTGTGGCAGCGTTACCATTGATATATTAATACAGAAACATCATTTAGCCTCATCCATTAAGTGGGAAAAATCATGTTCATTTCTTCGAGGTCTTTAGAGATGATCTAACCAACAGATTTGATTTTGCTGGTGAGCAATATGCAAACTTTCCACAGGTAGGATTATTTTATTTTCTCTTAATTAAAATGGGCAGCCAAGTGGGCATCTCAGCTTCTAATTTCCCCCAAGTGAAACACGACTTCTCAGTTTCACCAATTCTATTCGAACTCTATTCCCAACAGGGTGCTGAGGCTGGCCTGGTGGCAGGGCACAACGTTTTCTGTTAACAGGAGGCAGCCTGCCAGCAGCATATTCTGAATTACTGGGTTTCAGTATGACGTTGGGTGGTACAAGTTTCAATCCTCTTATCAAAATGTGTCCAGCCATGCTCATAATGAATGTTTCCCTTCTCTTTCAAAGGTTCCGTCTCCAGCCCTCATCTCCACCTACTAAAAAAAAGTGAAGAGAAACAGACACTATATTCTTACGGATGGAATTTTGCCTCCTATCCCTGTTCCCCACAAATGGACCTCCAGATTAATTGAACAAAAGCAGATCCCTCAATCACCAGTTTTTTTCTCTAAAGCTTTCCTAAAAACCCATCTTTCTTGGCATCGACCTCCTTCCTGTCTTCACCCCTTCATCGACTCAAGTCAAGCAAATTATCACTCCAGAAAACAGTACTGGCTTTAGCTAATTCCCTTCCAGCAGTTAAACGTTTTGGGCCCCACGAAGCCCTGTCGGGTGGGTGGCTGTCTCCACTTGCCTGGGACTGAAGGAGCTGCCGGGACAATCCTGGGCAAAAGGGACGGCGGGGTGTGGCTCTGGGGAAGTAGAACGTAAGGCCGAAAAGGAGTCCAGCCCCCGGTTCCCTACGGCCCATCCAGGCTTCCCTCGCGGGAGGACAGTAGAGCTCGCCGGGGCCGTGCGGGGCACTGGTGCTCACCCCAACGCCTCCCTCCCTCGGCGGGAAAGGAAACTGAGGCACGGCGAAGGCCCGGCCGGGCCCCACGCCCCGCCCTCCGCGACTGCCCGGGCCCCGCTCCCGCCCTACTCCTTTGTCCAGGCCGCGGTCTTCCGGCCGCCTCCTCCGCCTCCGCCGCCGCCTCCTCGCCTCCCGCGCGGCTGACGCGGCCAGCGAGGAATGCGTTTCCGGAGGGAGAGCTCGGCGGTGGCGGCCTGAGGAGCGGGATCGGCCGCGTCGAGGAGGCGGTGCCGCGGGCGTCGTTTCCTGCCGGGAGGCGGCTCCGGGCCGCCGAGTCTCCTCCTCCCGCTCCCGAGGAGGAGGAGCCGCCGCCGCCCGCCGCGCCCGAGAGCCGGGAGGCCGCGCCAGCCCACGGGAGAGGCCGAGCGGGAGCCGCGGAGCAGCAGGCCCGAGCCGAGCGCGCCGGGGCCTGGACGCCGCCCGGGGAAAGTAGGCGCCCTGGGGAGCGGGGCGGGGCGGGGCGGGCGGCGGCCGCGGGGCTCCTGGGCGCCGCCGGACCTCGGGCGGTCAGCCGCGGGCCGGGCCCCGCGTGGGGCGGGGGGAACACCTTGGGGCCGGGTGGGCCGCCGGGGCCGGGGCGGGGTGGGGGCGGAATCCTGCCCTGGGGCCGGAGAGGAAGTCCGGGCCGGCGGCCGCGCTCCCGGCTTCTCCCGCGGCCCTTCCTGCCCTCCCCAGGCGCGGGCGGCCCGAGGGCGTTGCGAGTGGGAGGGTCGCGGGCCTGGGCGCTGTCACGTCGCGGCGGGGGTCGGCGGAGGACCGGACCCGGGCCCGCGACCGGCCTCCGGGACACCTGCCATTCATAGGGAGCCTGGCCTGACCCGTGGCCTGGGCTCCGTTGCGCGAACTGACCCCGCGCGGCGCCCAGGTTTCCGGGCTCCGGCGCGTGCAGGTGAGAAGGCGAGTGGAGGCCTCCCCGGGACTCGACGCTGTAGGACTTGGAACGATCCTTGACGGTTTCCCTTTGTTGCCATTCCAGTCGCCGGCTGCTTTTCCTTTGAGCAGCGTTGAGTTGAGTAATTCGCTTCCAACTTCCAGAAGTTGGGCCCCCGCCTTCAGGGCCCGTAGCCTGGGGTGAATTGTAGGCTGGGCCCAGACAAAAGTTGGCTCGGTGGAGCCGCTAGGAAAAGAAGCGCGGTGTTGGCATACGTGCGTTTTTCCACGTAATGTTTATGAGGCCGCCCTGGAGTGTGGGGTCCCTCAGCGGTGAGAGTCCCGGGCGCTCCGCAGGATTCAGCGCCCGACCTGCGCCGGGTGCCGTCTTACTACGTGTAAATTCTTGTGCTTCCTAACCAGTTGTAGTTTTACGAATACCAGTATTTTATGCCTAAGTCATTTTTATTTCACCAGATTTGTGCTTTGGAGTCAGAATCTAGCACTAGCAAATTACCCTCTTTAGGCTTCCATTTTCTCATCTGTAAAATGGGAACAAGAATACCCACACTAATAATAAAAGTAGCTGTTACAGTAACGACAGTGTGGGCCATGCTTAGCTCGAGGCACTTTACCTGTATTTTCTCATTTTATCCTGGAACCGGTACAGTGAGGTAGGCGCCATTTTTATCCCCATTTTACAAATGAAGAAACTGAGGCACAGGACGCATAAATAATTTGCCTGTGATCACCCAGCTAGTGAGTGGAGAACCCATGGGGTCTAGCGCCAGAGCCCATGTTTGAACCACAGGTAACCTTCCATAACTACAGTATACTTGTGAAAATCAAATGTAGTACGTAAAACAGTTTAGAGTCGAGTAGATGTTCAATAAATAGGACTCCTTTTCATCTCTTCTTGATATATTAAAAAGATTTTTTTAAAAAAATCTCAGGATGTAATTGATAACATCATTAGCAAGGTTTCTTCGGGTCGCATTCATGTGGGTAGAATTACCGGGTTGTTATTTTTTGTTGTTTTGATGGTACAAAAATAACGTGAAATGAATTTTGATTAGACATCTTTCTTAACGTACAGCCTTTAGGTTATATTAATAGACCACTTTTAGAAATGATTAAGAAACTTTAGATGGAAGTTAACCTGTTCTACATTTGGGGGCATCTAGGTGCAGAGGGGATAGGACTTAAGAGTTTCCACTACAGTGTTCATATTTTTAAATAATTTTAGTTCATTGATCAATATTAAATGAATGACTTAAGATAATGAAGTGATGCATACAAAACAGAAGAAACAAATCAGTATTTTGGGGACAGGTCTCTGAGGAAAAAGCCATTAATTTATCCTAAAATTCAGTATAAAATGGAAGATGTTATTAAAATGTTAGCTAAAAAGGGAATGCGGTTAATACTTCTGTAAATAGAAAGGAAATCAACTCCAAATTAAGGCATCTGTGTTGACTTCACAGACCTAAAATTTAAAGTTTTTGTAATGTTGACTCTTTTTATTTTATTTTATTATTTTATTTTTTAAAAGATTTTATTTATTTATCTGACAGAGGAGACAACGAGAGAGGGAACCCAAGCAGGGGGAGTGAGAGAGGGAGAAGCAGGCCTCCCGTTGAGCAGGGAACCCAGTGCGGCTTCATCCCAGGACCCTGGGATCATGACCCGAGCCGAAGGCAGATGGTTAACGACTGAGCCACCCAGGCGCCCCTGTTGACTCTTTTTAAAAGAATGCTAAATTCTATATTATGATTATTTTATATTATTTTATAATATCCTCAACAATCTGTACATGAAAAAGTATGGAATCAACAATATTTAAAATTGCTAGACTTAGTAATTTTAACAATCACGTGGCTTTTTTCTTAACTTTCTGGTCAGTAGAATTAAAATCTGGCCCAAATTTCCATCACTGAATGAATGTGGAGTTCTGTATTGTTATCAATAAACTCCTAACTCCAGGAGCTTCTCTGGGGACATCTGGTCACTTTGTAATAGAATTAATCAGTTTAATGTGCTAGTTTTAATGGAATGCTTGCCACATAATGGCTTTATTGTTCAGATTCTTGCCAAATAAATTGTGGCTTACAACATGGGGGGGAGTAGTGTAATAGTCTACCTCAGGAAAATATCTTTCTTTAATAATTCGGTTGGTGCACTGGTCTGCTCTTAACTATACTGCTGGAATGATGAGGTGAAACATCTCCTGCCTGTTCAAAGTTGCAGAACTTCTGAGTTCTGAGATTTTCAGTTTCTGAATGTGTAACAAGCTGAATGTATCAGAGGATTTATATGGACTCTTGTTAAATTTTAGATTTCCCCACTCTGCATGGAAAGTTAGGATGCGTCAGGTTGTGGGTAGAATCCTAGAGGATTGTATTGTGCAAATATGTAAATATCTTTTGTATTAGCAGGTCTGTTCTAACTTTGGTTATATATTGTGGGATTTTTGTCCTTTTTTGTTGTAGTGAGAGTCTTGGTGAAGGGGGATGGGTTAACAGGGATAAGAGTAAGGAAGAGTGCATCAGTCTTGAGGATCCTGAAATGGTAGCAGTATCTATAGATGTAGAAAGCTGAAAAATATTACAGTATGTACTTGGTTTAAAGGAGGTGCAGTCCGCAAAACCCAGAACGGTAGCAACCTTAGAATATTTCAGTGGGTAAGTGAAAAAAATGTGGTATCTCTTCCTCAGGAGCCGTGTGCAAAAGGAGCCAAACTATATTCTTACGAATTTCTCTTCTTTTCAGAAATGGCTAATTGTAAGACTTAGAGTTATGTTTATAAAATAATATAGAGTGGGTTTTTGGAAGTCAGCTACCTTTAAACTTTTTGGTTTGTGGTCTTTGATGGTAAGGTTAGCTGTATTTAGCAATATGCTAAATTGTGTGTATCATCTTGAAATATGTGTGTGTGAGTAAAAAGAAATGGCTTCGAATATCCATCCTACATACCTAAATAAACACACACACACACCCATATAGATATATACGTATATATGTTTTACTTACTGGACTAGTGTCATTATACGTCTCCAAAGTGCAGGTTCCTGGACCCCAGGGATGTATAAATGACTCTTTGGAGTAAAGGAAGAAAATATGAGGCTTAATATTATATATACATACACATATACATATATATATATATACACACACACACACACATATACATATATATTCTTTAACCTTACTTAAAGTTTAAAATTTTTATTATTTTTCATATCTTACTATATTGCTATAGGAGTACGTGTATTTTAATTTATAAATAAATACGTATTTTGGGTATATGTTAACTCAATCTTTTCAGTAATAAAAGTGATAAAAAAGCTTTGGAGATAATTGGTATAGGGGATGCTTTGGGTGTGGATACAAGGACTACTGTATTTTGATGAGACCTGGTGTCTAAAGTAAGAGAGGTGAAAGAAACCCAGAGTGACACAGTTTTCTGGTTAGGTGGTGTCATTTCACAAGGCAGGCAGTATGATCACAAGGGGGTGGTATTGGTTGACTCGAGGGAGGGGAAATGATGAATTTATAACGCCGAGTGTTTTTAAAACTGGCATTGGTAGAGCTGTCTAAGAGCTCAGTTGAATACACAGTTTAGGAGCTCAGAACAAGAAGTCTGGTTGGGAGATTCAGATTCTGGAATTCTTAAGTCTGTAAGTGTTAGTTGAAGCTATGGGCTGCCGCTGAGAACACAAAGGAGAGTATGCAGAGTGAGAGGGGGCCAGGCAGAAAGCCTGCGAATGCTTATAAACAGTCTAGGGCTGGGTGGAGGAAAAGGAATCCAGGAAAGCATTTCCTGCCCAGTTTCTTCTCTGAATTCCTAATTCCTTTGTGTGACAGTTTAGTGAATGACTGGGTCTTCAGGAGTTTTTCCTGTGACTGACATATTTGAGGTAAAGACAAAAAGACTGATTAGTCATTTAGACTCGTCACTAGAAGCATGGTTGTGATTAGGAGGTGGTAAACCTGGGTTTCAGCATAAGCTGTGCCACTGAATTCCTCTGTGACCTTTGCTGGAATACTTCATCTTCCAGGGCTTTGGTTTCTGCAGCTACACCATCGAGAAGTGGTCTGTATGTTTCCCTCATTCTGTCATTCTTTGAGTTGAAGGATAGCTACTGCTCAACCCAGGCGGTGTGGAGTGCAGCTCTTCTCCCACGAGCAACCATTTTCTTGTGTCATCACCAGAGAGGATGGGTGCTGTGCCAAATTATTGCTATAAGAAAACCTGCCAGTGTTGACCAGCTGAATCTATTATTGTAAGCTCTTTGACAGATGTAACTCTGTTGTATGTTTCATTTTAATCCATCAGTGTAGAGTGCCAGGTACCTGAAAAATGCCGTGTGCTCAGTGGTTGTAGATCAGGCGTGAACTTTGCTGTTGAGTATGTCGTCTAGTTAGGACAAGTTGTGTTTAATCTAGGGAAACATAACAAATACCAAAGAATATTTTACACTATGTGCTATACCAGATAATTTTCTGTAGATTTTGAGAAAAAGATCAGCATTGTCTTAACCGTTTTGGAATGCTTTATAAAGGAGCTTGGAATGGTATGAACAAAGATACAGATGATAGACAGTATAAGTAGAAGGCAGAATTCAGTGTAATTTGGCAAATATTGTTTGACTACTCTGCGTGTGTGCACAAGTATCTGTTGAAGGCCTGAATTTTGTCTTCCCTCTAGTCTGGTGTGGTTCACAGACATGAGTACAGTTAGTTACCATAGAAGTTTGAATAAAATAATGTTACTAAGCAGCACTGAAACTGAAGGTTTGTCATTTACTATGCTAGACACTTAAGGATATGTTTTAGGATCATAAAGAAAGGAGTAGTTAATTCTGCTTATTGTGGTTGGTGAAGAGATGAAGAGCCAGTGAACACGGCCAAAAAAAAAGAAAAAGAAAAAAAAAGAAAGAAAAGTTAGCATTTTATTTTACTGTAGGGAATGTAGCTTCAGTGGATGAAGAAAGTATTTACATGAAAAATTTATTGGGAATGTACCATTTGAAGTATGGAAGTCACATTTCAGTGTATAAATGTTTACTGAGTCAATATATCAGTAATTAAGCTTTCTTACTCTTTGTGAAACTCAGAATAGTAATTTATTGGCTCTCCAATATTTTATAGTTCATGTATGATTTATTTCATATTATGATTTCAGTGCTTCTCAGAAGGGGTCATGGTAGTTCATATTTGATTGTTGGAGGAGGAGGTTGTAGTTTGAAAAAGTACATTCGTTATATTAGCAAAAAAAACAAAAAACACACAACAGGGAATGGATTTGTACTTGTTTAAGAAGCATGGGTATAAAATGATTGAAAGCCACTTATTAAGTAGTCACTTCGGTTCTTACGGTTGGAAGCCTGTGACTAGTGAATGAGTTGGAGAGCAGGAAGAAAATTCAGTAATTAAGTAAAATGTGATCTACAGATCACCATAAAATATGTGTTGCCAAGAGCTTTTACATTGATGATCATATTTTACTTTTGCAGCAAGTCTGAGGTAGACATTATTCCCAGCTTAGTGCTGAGTGCAATGAGAAATTTGTTTCTCCCTATGTTTAGTTTTTAAAACATTTGTTATGTATTTAAAATATACCTAGCACTGTGCTTGTTTGACTCCATTACAGGGCAGAGAGGAACTGTGGCAAAAGATATGGTCAAAGTTATTAAACTTTTGATCAAGTGAGAATTTTGGAGTGATCCACCTAAAAGTAGATAAAATTACACAATCTGGGAACATAATTTACAATTCTCCTTAATTAAAATAATGTAGAACAGATGTTGTTTTCAAGTGCTTATTGATACCATTACCAGGGTGGTTAACATTTTTTGCTAGCTCCATTTACAATTATCTTTGTAACTTGTCCCAGAGTAAAATTTCTCAAACAAAACTGTTACTAACCTACTCTTTTCTCCTTTCAGGGAAGGGCAAAATCTATAGTCATAGCAGGTGTAGAGAAGGAACATCTCACTAGGCTGGTTTGAAAAAACTAGTTGCCAGGTACTGTCCTTTCTTTTGAATGCAAGGAGGAGCTTGCAAGAATTAATTTCAGGCAACTTTCCATTCTCATTTTGGATCAGCGTTTAATATTATGACTTGATTTGTTTCAAGTGTCTTCTGTTTGTATTTTAAGTCTGTCCTTCTTCAGACTTGAGTTTATTACATGCCCCGTCACTGATCTTTTTAGTTTAATGCTTTTTTTTTTTTTTTTAACCAGGTTAGCAGTTTATTATAAAAGGATGTAATTCATAAACAGCCAGATGGAGGAGATGCATAGGGCCGCCTCTGGAAGTGCCACTCTCCCTGAATCTCCACAATTCACCATCCCGAAAGCTCCCAATTTTTTTTTTTTTTCCATTTTCACATAGGCTGTCCTTTTTGAGGGGTGAAAGTAGTATACCAGTTACTCATTTACTAGATTGCTATTGGCTCCATCATGTTTTTAATTGCCTTATTTTGAATTTTGTGAGGTTTTTCCCAAGCATGCTCTTTGTGTCGTGTTGATCCTCTTCCTTGTATTTATGAATTCTGTAAAGGATTTCGACTTAAATTTCCTCCCTGAGTTTTGTACGCTTTTCCTCTAGTTTTGTGGTCTTATTTTTGACTGATCACTGTGAGACCTATTTGAGATTTTCTAAATTCCTTCAAGAGCATAATGGATTCATCTAGATTTTCTCCTATTTTCAGAGAAAATTCTTCACCTCCTTTCACTTTTTCTTCTGTAGAAGAGTTTTTCCTGATTAAGTTCTGTGCTCCCCCCCCCCAACCAATTTATCTTTGAGGCTTTTTATGTGCCATCATGCGGTATATCCGTTGTCTTTCCTGTGCACTTGTGGGCTGGGTGGTGGGTGACGGTGATTGATCTTCCATATTCACATTTCCTTGGAGAAGGTGGGTAGACCAGTTCCTAGTGATGGATTTTGCTGCAGTCTGTTATTGTTATTTTCTTAAAGTATATAGCCCTATTATGAGCTGTTCTCAGATTCCAAATTGTGTCGTGAGCCTGTAGCTTTGGAGCAGCCTGACCTTTGCTGTTGGAGCTCATTAGCTTCAGGTGGATGTCACCGTTGGGTAAGAAAGAGTCGGTGCTCATAAAAAGCACCTTTTTTTTTCTTCTGGGCAGGAGTAGTGAATTGTTGAAAGATTTCTAGTTCAGACTACTGTTTGTTTATCTACAGTAGGTGGAAAAGAACTTCTAGTGAAGTGTTAGTTGTATCTTTGCCTTGGAGTACTTAGCCTCTTCGCTTTATTTCCTCTTGTTTTTTTTCTTTCTTCTTCTTCCTTTCTGCTAAGTTTTGTTAATCATTAATTCTGCCTTCTTATTTGGGTCATAAACACCTTCATGGTCACCAGCACATACCTCTTCCTGCCAGAGAGAGGGAAATAAAATGTTGAGCTTTACTTGTTCTTCCTGAAGGGGAAAGATGCTCCTGCCCCAGAGGAATGCATCTCCCCACTCTCACCCTCAAATTTGATGGAACAGAGATCAGTGGGATTTCTGAGCACCTTCCATTTGGGCACCCCCATCTGATTGCCCTCTGTATGGGGAGAAGTGGGAAGAGCTGCATGTAAATTCTCTGAGGCTTTCAGTTTGGCTCTCTGTTGTTTTTATACTCTATATTGATTTTTAAATATTCTTTTATAGGACTATTTTTTCCCTTTTAAAGGCAGATACAGAAAATAATGATGGTGGGACAGACTTGGGATGAATACAGCTGTATTATATTTTTAGGAGAGATTATAATATACCTCAATGTAGGTATCCTAATCTTTTCTACTATTAAGGTGAAAAGATTTTAAAATGTTATGACATAAAAAAGGAAGCAAATTCTGTTGTCTAAAAGAGAGTATTTGAAAGTTAAAAACCCTTAACCTTTCTTACTAGAAACCTGCTTCTATTGAAAGGTTGAGCTTTTGAATCAGGCCTAGGTTCCTATCCCAGCTTTGTCACTTAGTCTGGCTTTGTCTGCACAGTAGATTTGCAATCAATATTTGCTGACTTGAATTTAATTGGTTGTGTTGAATAAAAATGTACCCTTTTGCAAGGATTTGATAGGAAGAAATTTTTTGTGGATGACTTCTCTTGGTACTGGTTGACTTTTCGGTACCTTATTTTAAAATTTGAAATAAATGTAGGGCGCCTGGGTGGCTCAGTCATTAAGCGTCTGCCTTCGGCTCAGGTCATGATCCCAGGATCCTGGGATCGAGTCCCACATTGGGCTCCCTGCTCAGCGGGAAGCCTGCTTCTCCCTCACCCACTCTCCCAGCTTGTGTTCCCTCTGTCTCTGTCTCTCTCTCTGTTGAAAAAATAAATAAAATCTTAAAAAAAAAAAAAAAGAAAGAAAGAAATTAACTCACCACATTTTTTAAGTAATTTTTCTCTAAAATATAATTGTTCAATTTCTACAAATACAGTACTTAAAAAGTTTCTAAAGATTTTATCTGTAAATGTAAAAGAAAATGCCACATGAGTTACTTGTGACAATGATAAAAATATTAAATACGTGTGTATTTAGGAGTTTTGAATAGGACATAAAACTACACTTTGGTGAATAAAGGTGAGTTTGGAGTGGAGATTAAAATAATTATGTATAATTTTTGACAATGGAAACAATGCACACAATTCAGGGTGTTAACCACTAAAATGAAATTGTTTGGAGGAGGTGCTTAACATGATGTATTGTTTAAGGAATGAATTGTGACCCCTTAGATAAACTTGAATATGGTAAGAAGTAATACTAGGGTAAAATGCCTTTGTAGAAATCGAGGCACAAAACCTGTGGGTACACTCATGAAATTTGCCAATTAAATTAACTTTTGTTGGTCTCCCCTTAGTTTGAAGGACTAAGAAATAAACTCACAGGACATTATAAATCCTTTCAACTTCTCTTCTTTGAGTCTGTTCTCACACTGGAAGGATGTTCTTTTTTTTTAATAATGACTTGAATAGGCCTTCAAAAAATTATAGTTTAATGAAGTGCAGACCGGGTGGTAGCTGGTATGTAATTCAGACGGTGTGATTTCCACTCCGTCTGTGTGACCCTGGAAAGGTTATTTTACCTCTCTGTGATTTGCTTTCCTCATCTGTAAACCAAAGATAGTATCATTCCCAACCGCGTAGAGGTACTTAGAGGAGATAGCTGTTATTATTTTTATCATTATTGTCATTATTGTAGTCATTTGAAAGTGTTGAAATAAAAGTGCGATGACTTTTTGTTACAAATTACCCTAAATCCTCCAAACTCAGTGTGTTGTTTTTGTCTGTGCCTGCTGTATGCTTAGGTGTACCAATCTTCCTCTGTTTTTGTAGTCTTCAGTGGGCAGCAGTTCATGCGGGAAATCCCACTGGTACACGGTACTGGGATTCACATTTCTAGTAGTAAAATGTCTTTTCAGAGAAGTTTTCTTCCTTTTAGCCTCTCCTGGGTTTACTTCCTCTAGACAGAAGAAGCCTCGAGTCACTCTCCCGTATTTCTATTTCTATTAGTTATGTTAACCTCCCACCCTGATCTTTTTTTAAGGTAGTCTGTGATACTCATGTTCAGAAATATCTGTATTTTGTCTAATGTAGTAATATAAAACACTGAGATTTTGCTGCTCTTATTATTTTTACATACAAATGGTTAGGAATCCAATTGTTAGAAAGCACATTAAGTAGAATAATCCTTCTTAGATGTGGAACCTAAAATACGCGTCTAGTTATATTAATATAATTGGTATCTAATATGATAGCATCTGATTAAACCTCATTGTTATACAGTATAATAAGGTTTTTTTTTTTTTTTAAAGATTTTATGTATTTGACAGAGAGAGACACAGCAAGAGAGGGAACACAAGCAGGGGGAGTGGGAGAGGGAGAAGCAGGCTCCCCACTTAGCAGGGAGCCGATGAGGGGCTTGGTCCCAGGACCCTGGGATCACGACCTGAGCCGAAGGAAGTCCCTTAATGACTGAGCCACCCAGGCATCCCTATAATAAGGTTTTGATATTGTATCCAAATAAGTATCTGAGTGGCTGTAACAATGAGCATTAATCTTGTTTACAGTTGTTTTATTTCAAACCCATATCCTTTCTTCTTTATCTTGTTCCTCCCCTAATGGGGATCAATCCAAAATTTTCTGGTATGATTATGATTGAAAAAAATCAAAGCCTTTAAACTAAGTTACTTCAGAGATTTGCATCCAGGTATTCTGTCTCCAAATGGGTGCCCTTAACTCTGTGCTCACATGTTATTGTACACTGCTTGCCCTCCTTAAGCTTACTGCTTTCGTTTTTGTTGTTGTTTCTTGGATACCTCAGAATATTTTCAGTTACCTTTATCTTTAGTTTCTTTATTAAATAGTAAGATACTATGCTCGATATAGAGAGAACACCAAACAGTGACTTCTAGGGATGAGATGGCAGTTCCTAAGACAAGTCAGCTTCACACATCTGTAGTAGATGGGTAAGAGCTACTTGTATCTTAAATACTAAATTTTTTAAAACAAAGATTGTTTATATTTGATTATGTATCTGACTTAAGTCACCTGACTTAAATCACCTCCCCAGTTCTTGCCGTCATTGGGATCTTCAAGAGTACATGCAGGTAATACCTCTCACACTCTGGTCTGGCAGTTTTCTTGACTTTTTCAACTCCGGTGGCCTTCGAGCACTGTATGAGAGACCTCTTTTGTCCTCACCTCCTCCTGGCCTCTTCTCTGATTCCAGCCACTGCTGCTGGGAACAGTGTTATGACTCACTTTTGGCTGACTGCATCTTGCCCTCAGGTTCCTCCTGGGACTTCTCTTGTGTGATTGTGGGGCGAGAAGCTGCTGCAGCCTTCTGCGCAGATGCACGGTAGTTCTTGGAAGTGTCGGGGAAGTGAATGCCCCTCGGAACAAACTTTTACCTATGGGGACTGGAATTAATGTACTTCTCCATATTGACCCTCCTCTGTACAGACTTTCTGTACACTTCTCAAAACTTCTCAGCCAGGTCAAGCCCCCAGGCACCCACATGGCAAAGAAGTCTGAATTGGCTGTCTTGGTTCACTGTCTTCCGTATCTCTGTCTTTCCCTGGGGTCACCTTTGTATAATAATTGCCTGCAATCCTGTTTTTGTCTCAGCCTCTGCTTTTGGAAGGAACTCTGGCTCAAACAATTGCCTGTAGCTATATTCCCACTTAGAACTTTTTACCCAAGACTACCTGTCTTTGAAATGTTAAGCCTGTCCTTCCTTTCTAGCTCTTCCCTCCCCTGTGTACAGGAGCCCCTTTCTTCTCACCTACCTCTTGTGATCTCTAGTCCTTTGACTTTGTCCTCTTCTGTGTTGTTAACTGTGAGCATGGCCAGTGCCTCCCCTCCGCCCACCCGCACTTGCCCTAGAAACCAATGGATTAATTCAGTGATTTCCAGTGGGAGTCTGACGATCCATGCGAGATAGTCTCAGTGATTTGAACTACAAGAATTGGTAAAAAAATGTGCTTTTGTGCTAATAATTATAGTAATAAGCAACCAACATCTGGATTATCTGGTCGAGTACCTTATAGCTGAGTCATCATTATTTTGGTGCCGAGTTTTATTTGTATGTGTAAATTAATCTTGGTTCATAATGTATAAGAGCCAGGACCATGAAGCATTTTACGTCTAGCTTTAAGTTGGCTGTACATACCTAAATGAATTGAAAATTGGTATTGCTAGGGTGTCTATAGTAACTGTTTTCTATTTAAAGGGAGTCTGCACATTAATTCTGACAAACTCTTCTTTCCTAGGCTTCTGAGTAATGTCAGAGAAAATGTCATACAGTTTAATATAGTTCAGCAAAAATTTTTGAGCATTGACTTTGTGCCAAGTGGTTCTGGTGCTTGCTGTTGTTGAATAAGACGTGCCAAGGCCCTGTCTTCTTGGAGCCTGGAACCCGTCAGGAAAGATGGGTGTGAACAGGTCGTTCAGAGTGAGAGGAGTGAATGTGCCTTTTAAGTCAGGGCCCTGAGCACTGCTGTGTAATGCCCCACCTGTTCTAGTACCCTCCCCCCTTGAGCCCCACCTCCTCCTCTCCCAGCAGTTGTCCTTGCTCTGCTTTCAGAGCAAACCTAGGCTGTCTTGCCCTGAGCTGACTGAGAAGCACCTCTCTTCAGACTTGCACACTCCCTTGTGTGCTGGATGCTGTCCTCTCTGCTCCAAGGACGCTGGGCTCCATCAGTTATTCTCTCCTGGGTCCTCACCTCGTCAGCTTGCCTATTTTCCTGAGTATTCTTTCCTTCACAGCCTATTTTCATAGTTTTGGTTGCTGCCTCTGTGGCAGCCATTCTGGGGTAATCCGTCCTCTCTAACCCTGACTTATCTCCTGAGATCGAGACCTGTCTCTTGCCTTCCCCGTAGGTAGGTAGCCTCCCAAGAAGTCCCTCAGGCATCTCACCTTGCACAGTTTTAAAACAAAGGCATGATTTGCTCCTCTGACGTCATTCTCCTTCTGCCTTCTTTGTTTGAAAGTGGTGATTCCTTTTCCAAGCAACTACCAGATCCCCACTGTTCTACCTCCTAATCCCACAGTTGTCTTCTCATCATCACCCAGTGCTGCTCTGTGCCTTCAGATGTTTGCTGAGCCCCAGCAGTGAAAGCAGTGCTGGTTTTGTAGCTCTCACCTTGACGCTCATCCTCTGTCTCATGGATTTTTTGCCATGTATGTATCGTATGCTACCCTGCCCCATTTTTTTTCCAGTTTCCCTGCTATATATAGAATAGAATCTAAACCCTTTGAGCATGGATGGCCTTGAAGTCTCAGAAATGCTTAAGTACGTTAAGATTCTTTTTGGATTTTATGATTTTAAGATTTTTTAAATTTATTTTAAGATTATAGTAACAATTTTTACTTACTGTAAAAAAATTAGGGGGACAAAATAATCATTCATCCCACAGACCAGATTTAACTATAAATAACATATATATATATATAGAATTTTTTAAGATTTTATTTACTTATTTGACAGGAGAGAGTGAGAGAGCACAAGCAGGGGGAGGGGCAGAGGGAGAAGCAGGCTCCCCACTGAGCAGGGAGCCCGATGTGGGACTCAATCCCAGGACCCTGGGATCACAACCCGAGTCGAAGGTAGACGCCTAACCGACTGAGCTACCCAGGCGCCCCTGGATATATTTTTTCTAATCTTTTTTCGGTACAGATAGAGTGAGACAGTCCCAATTGGGTGGTGAGGGGGGAGTCACCCAAACATGTATGTTTAGAAATGAGATTGGAAAGAAGTTACTGTAATTCTTCCTAGGACTCCACGGCTTTGCACATACAAACCTCTTGCCTGGAACATTTCTCTCCATCTGCCTGCCTGTTTTGCCAAATCCATGAAGCCGCTGAACTTGGCCAGGCAGATTTTGGTGTCCTCAGTGCACTTTGTCCTTATTTTCATTACAGAAACCATCACATCATATTGTAATCATTTGTATTTTTGTCTGAAGAGAAAATTCCTTGAGACAGCAATTTTTGTGTCTCCAGAGAGGGCACAAAACCTGACAAAGTTGGCTGAGGAAGAATTTCCAGAGAGGTGGGGGAGAAACCAGTAAAGCCCGAGGGAACAGAGTGGGTTAAGAAAGAATGGTGAAATGGATTAAGTGCTGCCTGTAATATCTGTGGGTGGTAAATGGATGTATCTCCCCAAGTACCTATTGTAGGCAGTCAAGAAATTTTGAATGAATGAATAAATGAATGAATGCAGAGAGTAAGAGAAGGCCTGGAAGGCTCTTTTTTGCAAGAGCAGTTTCACATGCATGGTAAGAAGTGGACACCAATAACAGCCGGTTGAGGAGGGAGTAGGAGATTATAAAATGGAGAACAGTGTAGACAACTCCAACAGTGTAGATAACCTTTGAAGAGAGGATCAGGATAATGCCTGGAGGCATCTCTCCCTGTGGCCCCTCCCCTCAGGATGAAGTGTTCTGCAAGGAATGCCCTTGGTAGGGAACTCCTTAGCTCGGGACTCACAGGCCCCGCTGGTGAGCATGTGGGTTTTAGGCCCAGGTGGGCATCCAGGTAAATCTGATGCGGATATTGCCTAGACCACACTTGGAAAGAGCTGCCTTAGGAGGAAATGCTTTGGAAGCTCTTGGTGCGTCCTCCTTCCCACCCCCACATGCTGGAGGAGCATCCAGTACCTTCAAGGACTGTCCAGATTGACGGAGAGGCTGCTGGGTCTTCTGTGCCACGTCCTCTGCACTGCCTGCTCTCCTCTCCTCACTCACTGCTAAACCAGTTTCTTCTCAGCCTATTCCTCACCGCTCTTTAGTCTTCTTTGCTGTCTTCTTCTGTCTCTGGGGGCTTCTCTGTTTCCTGAGGGAGAGCCTGGCCTTTTACATGTTCCCCAGCCAATGACGGTGCCTCTCTGTTTCTTGCCAGTGCGCTGACCAGTCACAGGAGAGTTGACAAGTATCCTTGAACTGTTCTCAGCTGCTGTCCTGTTCTCTCAGCTGCTCTTCAACACTAAAGCCTATTTTGCCTGCTTGTGGGTTTGGAGCTCTTCCAGAGCAAGAGAGTTTCAGAAGGCTAATCTTTGACTTGTCAGGGTTTACAGAAGGAGAAGGACAGGGCATTTAAAATAATATTTTAAAGGTGGGTAGCCTAAGGATGTGAGGCTGCCTAAAACAGTGTTTCTGTTACCTCATAACTTTATCTTCATGGTGATTCTCTGAATTGTGTAGTATTTTAAAACGTTTTTCAAAGCAGTCTAGTGGTCCTTGAAATAGCCTGAGGAGTATCCTGAAGAAACACGTATCAGCCCATATATGGAACAAATATTTATTCTGTTGACTTTGTGTAGAAACTGCCCAGATGGTCCATTCATCACAGTCTTAATGTTCCAGGGCCTTTTTGTCATAACTTTGGAATTGATAACATTATTTGAATTGCTTAGAATTTTAGTCTGATGGATTTATTGCACATAAACCTATTGGGGAGGCCATAGAAGGCAAACTGTAGGCATGTCGCACTTCTGTGACACTCCGCACAGTTACAGCCTTTTTTTTTAGATTTTATTTATTTCAGAGAGAGAGAGAGTGAGCTAGAGAGAGAGAGAGCACAGCATGGTGAGGGGCAGAGGGAGAGGGAGAAGCAGGCTCCCCAACGATCAGGGAGCTGGACGCGGGACTCGATCCCAGGACTCCGGGACCATGATCCAAGCGGAAGGCAGCTGCTTAACCAACTGAGCCACCCAGGTGCCCCAGTTACAGTCTTTTGGATGCAGTTATAAATAATGTGTAAGCAAAACTGTTCGCTTGCCGCATAGCAGGACGTGCTTTTCTGAGCACAATGTAGAGCGTGTGGTTACGTAAGTTACTCTCACTGCTCTTCTCTGGGAAGCCAACAGAGAAAGCTTAAAAAGCATTTAACAGCAGAAGAGACACAGGGATCTGGGGTGCTCTGAGCACAACTTTGAAGCACTCTTCGGGACTTGTGGGATTAGCATCTCAGAATGGAAGCTTTTGAAGCCAGGTTTTGTTTTTTGTTTTTTGTTTTTTTTTTAAGAAATATTTTTTTCTTACTAAAGGAAATGTACCAAGAAAGAAGAAAATCCCACACAGTTACTCTGCCATCATTGTTTTTATTAAGAAACTGAAAAGAAGAAAACACTGTGACAATTTAAAAACAAACCCATTGTCTTTTTTTAATAAAGATTTAGTGCATGCGCGAGCAGGGGGGAGGGGCAGAGGGAGAGGGACAAGCAGACTCCCCACTGAGTGCAGAGCCGCACACAGGGCTCCATCCCAGAACCCTGAGATCATGACCTGAGCCGAAATCCAGTTAGATTCTTCACTGACGGAGCCACCCAGGCACCCCCAACATTGTCTTTATATTACGCATATGCCTCTGTCATCACTAGGTCTCCTTGGGTACTTTATACGTGCGTGTACGGTCATTTTTACATACTTGTCATCTTAATATGTACTTTGCATCCAAAATTATTCTAAAAACCTTTTGTTACTACATTTTATCTTTATGACTCTAATAGTCCATTTGGTTGAAGCAGTTAGCTGATTCCTTGTTACTGGGTAGAGGACGTTTGTGTTTTTGCCTATTGTAAATAAACGAGTTGTGTGTGTGTATCACGTTTTATATTTTTAACTATTTCCTTAGGATGAATATCTAATAGCTAGATTGCTAAGTCAGAAGGTAGAAACATTTTTTATGGTTTTTGGTATAGGTTAAATTATTTCCCAAAAAATTATACCAGTTTATAGAGCCATCTCTGGTTTCTCTCAGCCATCTGCAATAGTTTTATTGGGTTAAAACTCCCCCCCCCCCTTTTTTTTCCTGCTGGTTTACCTAATATTGCTTTAATTCATACTTCTTCGGTAACTAGTAAAACTAACTTTTTGGGACTTTACCGTATTTCTTCTTGTTTGTTTGTTTGTTTGTATTCTTGTGGGAAAGGCAGATATTTATACATAATTGGCTGCTAGTCCAAGAGCAGTAAACAGTTAAAGGAGGTTAGTGAGCTGTGGCTGGAGCCATCTTTGACCAACTCTGCTAAAGTATAGATCAATATTGTGAAAACTGATTCACGGAAAATTGTCCTATACCTGATGGGTGCAGGTTGGGGTAATTCTGAACAATATACAGGAGATTACTTAATTTTTCTTTAGCGATTCTGGAAGACACTCAAACCCCTGTTAGGTCTTTTTAGGCTCCCTTCCTGCACTTTTTCTTCCTTCCTTCCTTCCTTCCTTCCTTCCTCCCTCCCTCCCTCCCTCCCTCCCTCCTTTCTTTCTTTCTTTCTCTCTCTTTCTTTCTTTCTTTCTTTCTTTCTTTCTTTCTTTCTTTCTTTCTTTCTTCTTTCTTTCTTGTCTAGTTTGTAGATCTGGAAATGACAGGAAATTGAACTAAATATTTTACAAATCCCATGCATAGAAGTTATTTTATTAAAAACAGATAACTAATTACAGGAGCTCAACCTTAAAAATTAAGTCAGGCCTTGTGCAGGATGTTGGTCTTGGTCTGAGGAGAAATAGACATTATTGAAAAGTTTTAAGCAAGGGGGTGAGCCATCTGGATTTTGACAAGTTCACTCCAAACTGACCTGCAGTACTGAGGTAACTGAAGCATCTGGATATGGCTGTGTGGCCCCCTAGGGGCCATAGGAGGTGATAGACGTAGAGGTTCCATGGAACAAAGACTGCTTAACCAACTGAGCCTTAAAAGGCTTTTATGGTGTTTGGGAATACTTGACACTTTGTTGAGCATTATTAATTAGATGTTAAAATATATTTTATATGGAGGAAGGTGAGAATGGATTCTAGGGATCCGGTATGGACATTATTTTAATGTAAGTGACAGTGAGGTAACCGGGAAGGGGAGGAGGAGGGTAAAAGGGATTGGAGAAGAAATGGTTTGAGAGGGATTATGTTTATAAAATCAACAGAAGATAAGGTGAGTGGGAATGTTTTGTGTTTCATGTATTATCTTTTTTTGTTATTTTCTTAATATTTAGCAATGTACATTTTATATTTCAGATGAATTTACAACTAATTTTCTGGATTGGGCTGATCAGTTCAATTTGCTGTGTGTTTGGCCAAGCAGGTAAGTAAAAAAAAAAAAAAAGTTTTCTAGTTGTCTTTTCATTTCAGTGTCTTGTATTACTTTTTGACCAATTAGATTCTTGAGCAAATCTAAACCACGGGCCCCTGGGTGGCTCAGTTGGTTAAGCGACTGCCTTCGGCTCAGGTCATGATCCTGGAGTCCCTGGATCGAGTCCCACATCGGGCTCCCTGCTCGTCAGGGAGCCTGCTTCTCCCTCTGACCCTCCCCCCCTCATGTGCTCTCTCTCTCTCATTCTCTCTGGCTCAAATAAATAAATAAAATCTTAAAAAAAAAAAAATCTAAACCACATCATGCTCCTCCTTCTAAAAGCTGTGCAAGGGCCGCATCTCACTCGGGGTAAAGGTTCTTAGAGTGGCCTGCGAGACCCTTCATCATCCAGACCCTCACTGCTGCCTCCCAGAACAGTGACAGGGCGGGTTGGCTAAGGAAATGCTGAAGTGATAGGAATACAGAACACCACAGCAAGGTCTTTTAAGACTGTAATAGAGTGTTTAAGTGAGCATAGAGAAAACAAAGGTGTGTGATACATTTAGAAGAAAATAAAATGAATGTGTAGAATGGTGGATTATGAATGAACTATTACCATCTAAAAAAATGAAACCAGGAATAACCGCCTTTCTAGAAGATGTTCTTAATCTTGATCAAAAAGTATTGCAAAATGTTGGCATTATCTAGAAGAGGAATGAAACATAAAGCAAAAAATATAGTTAATCCTCTTACAAACCATGGTGCATCCACATCCGCAATAATGGATGTGCAGTTCTCTTCTCCAGATCTCAGAAAATACATTGCATAGAACAATTATTTGATCTTAGAACAGGAAGGACTTACTACATGGAAAAATGAAGAAAAACCTTAAAGGAAATTATTGATATAGTTGATTACCTAAAACCAATAACAACATAAAAACCCAAAGTGTCTGGATGTCAGAACACCATCAACAAGATGAGAAACTAAACAAAGGTTTAATTTCATTAGCATGTGTTGAGATCCAGTAAAAACAGATGAACATGATAGAAGAAAAATTTGCAAAGGATATAAACAGAAAATGTACAAAAGAAATGGCCAGTAAAATATGATAAAAATGAAACCTTAAATAACTGACAGTAGAATTGATACTCTAATTTATATGTGTTAAATGAGTAAAAGATTTTTTATATTAAAAAAGTACTTGGTGTTTGTCGAAGGTCTGGTGAAAATGGTATTTGTATACTGCTTGTAGGATTATAAATTTGCATATTACTTCTGGATAGAAATTAGTATATACTGAGAATATTAAAAACATGAATGCTGTCCCACTCAGTATTATCTTTTTTAATTTGTGCTAAGGAAATGATCAGAGTTTTACATTGTGAGACTGGTCCTCAGAATGGGTGCATATATACGCACATACATGTACATGTATTTGGAGGGTTCGTGTGTATATGTGAGCAAGTGTGTGGAAACTATGCACACATGCAATTGAAAACAATCTAAATTTGTCCAACATTAAGTAGTCATTAATATAATAAAATATAATCATTAAAAGCCATATTTTTAAAGAATTTGGATAAAGTATAGAATTAGGATAAAGTATAAAAAGTAGTATGCAGGGATGCCTGGGTGGCTCAGTTGGTTAAGCGACTGCCTTCGGCTCAGGTCATGATCCTGGAATCCCTGGATCGAGTCCTGCATTGGGCTCCCTGCTCGGCAGGGAGT